TCTCTTCTTTGCCTTGCATGCAGATTTTTTTTTCCTTGAAATCATATAAAAAACTAACAAAACAAACTCACTGCCATCGAGTCATTTCCAACTCATAGTGACCCCCATTGAGTTTCCCAGGCTGTAAATCTATGGAGGTAGATTGCCCCATCTTCCTTCTGCGGAGCAATGGGTGGGATTGATGCATTTCCATTAAATTTTACTTAACACATTCTCTACATTTTTATCTCATGCTTTTATTACTCTTTCCAAAACCTATTTGTGTAGATCATATTCTCAGGTTTTATACAGGTTGACATGTAGCAAGTGGTCAATTGATGTTTATGGAATAATAAATAAGTAATTGGAAAATAATTTTAAAAATTACAACTAACATTTGTCTGTGTCTATCCTGTTTCTTCATTCTTGTATATTATTCTTTTTGTACATTCTCCCCCATTATGCCATGGCTGCAACAGTGGGCTCAAATGTAGCAATGATTGTGAGGATGGCACAGCACCAGGCAGCGTTTCCTTCAGTTGGACATAAGGTTGCTATGAGTCGAAACTGAGTCAATAGCATCTAACAACATAGCAACCTCAACAACCCCTGATTAGAGTATAAAAATGCTTGTGTTATTATTAGTGTTCTAAATTGGGGCTGGCACATTGTACTTGTACCAAATATGACCCACTGTTTCTAGCCCCCCATCATTGAAAAAACATTGAAAGCTATTTTGTGCCATGAACAAATTATTTGAAATCCATGTAATCCATGTTTCAATGTCTGTAAATAAAATTTTATTGGAACACAGCAACAACCATTTGCTTATGAATTGTCTGTGGCTGCAACAGAGATTGTATAGTTACAAAGGTTAACATATTCGCTTTCTGCCAACTCTGCTCTGAATTTGATTGAAGTGTAAACATACCCTTATTTCTCCCTCTTTCCCCTTGCCTTCCCCTTCCCTGTGCTTTCTCCAGACAATTTCTCCTTTAACGTGGCCACTGTGGCCTCGGGACGGTAAAACTGGAATAATTTGACTTTGAACTCTACCAAAGCATTTATATCCACTGTTAGACAAGCTCCAGTGGATGGGGGTTTGGGGGGTCTTGTTTTGTTCCAGTTGTAGCTTAGGTCCACAGACTAGTGCCTGGCACATGTTAACTTCCATGGAGATAGTTCTGACTCATAGTGACCCGGTGAACAACAGCCATGATCAGTGAGTTCTTCTTTTTGGATGAACAGAATGAGTGTGCATTTCCCCAGCCTCTTAGCTACTGTTCTTTTCAGTGGGTATGCGTAGTCAAGGGCAGCCCACAGAAGAGGAAAACACTGTATACATCTGTGAGTTTTATATGAAACAGAAAACAACTATTGGAGGAAGAAATATTGTTCTCAGGTGTGTAACTCACTGAGGGGACGTTCTTCATGACTTTCAAGGAGAATAAAGACCTAGGAAGTCCAAGAATTTGATTGGTTTTAGAATTCATGTGACTTGTTTTTCCCTTATAAGATTGTTGTTGTTGTTGTTATGTGCCGTCGAGTTGGCCCCGACTCATAGCGACTCCTCCTTGGGTTGCCGAGGCAGTATCACTACAGAAGTAGATTGCCCAACCTTCCTTCCGAGGAGTGGCTGGTGGGTTTGAACCACCAGCCTTCTGGTTAGCAGTCAAGTGCTTAGGCACTATGCTACCAGAGCTCCTCTTATAAGATTAGCTTGTTTCTATTTTGCTTAGAAAATTAAAAATAATTTTAAAATAAGCCTGAACTTACACCAACTGATGGTTGGGAAAACATGTCCCAGAAATCCTGTTGGGTTAACAGTTTGGTAACTATTTGATCAGATTTGAACAAAAGCAGGATATACTGAAAGTAAATCACTTGGTGGAATACTGTTATCGTAAGTAGAGGCAATAGTCGTATGTGCCAGTCGTCTGTCAGTTTGTATTACTGGGGTGATTTTTGTGTAGCTGTGTTCCTGGAAGCTATGCCACTGGTATTTCAAATCCCTGCAGGGCCACCTGTGGTGGACAGGTTTCAGCAGAGCTTCCAGACTAAGACAGACTAGGAGGAAGGACAGGGCTACTTCTGGAAACACTAGCAAATGAAAGCTATGTGAAGAGCTACTGAACGTTGTCTGAGAGACTGCTGGAGGCTGAGCCCCTCAGGTTGGAAGACGCTCAGAATACCACTGGGGAAGAGCTGCCTCCTCCAAGTAGAGTCCATGTGTAAGGGAGATACATACACAAGATCAGAATGCTCCTTAGAAGCAAGGATGGTGAGACTTTTCCTCACTTTGGACGTGGTATCAGGACAGCACCATCCCTGTAGCAGTAGTGGTAGTATGTATTCAACGCTAATCTCCCTTTTAAAAAGTACCGTGACTTCCCTGTCTCCAAGGGCTCTGTAAGTCCTGGCCTTTTCTACCTCCTCTCCTTTGTGAAGTGTTATTCTGCTCCTGGTTCACTTTTCTGGAGCCCAGTGGGTTGGTTCTTTCAGTTCCTTCCCACTCCAGGGCCTTCTCATATGTTGTATCTTGATCTTTGTGGCCGGACCTCTATGAATCCTTACAGTCAACACTCACTTCATATTTTACCTTAAAAGTGACTTCTTCACAGAAGTTGTCCCAAAGCACGCACCCTGTGCTTCCTTTTTCCACAAAGCTTTTCACTGGTTGTAACTGGATAATTAATTGTGTAGTTAGCACCTCAAATGATGTGAGTTTCCTGAAGCTTCTTTCTGCCTGAGTCCACAGGACTTTTCCCAGAGGGTGTGGCTAACCACTGGTGCTCAATAAATACTTGGTAAAACAATGAATGTTGGTAGAATAATCCAAAGTTCAGTTAAAATTGTCTCTTTTCCTTTTCTCTCATTTTCTTTCTTTAGCTGGGAAGTTATCAATTCCAAACCAGATGAAAGAGCTCGACTCAGCCACTGTATTGCAGAATCTTGGACGAACGTCAGCATATTTCTCCAGGAAATGTCTGTTTTCAAACAGCAGAGCCCTGGCAAGGCAAGTTTCATGCAAAATTTCTGTGTATGCTTTAGGATGTCCAGTCAACGGGAAAGAAATGAACTGACATGTTTGATCAACTTATAAGGGTGCTTTAATTCCAAGTAGGATAGACGGAGATCATGTGCCATAAGAACTGCTAACAGCAAAGTTCAGAAATATTAGTGTTAACACTGGAAAATCCCCTACCTCATGATATAAAATTGGACCAGTTTTATATTTTACACACATTTATCTGGCTCACTAAGTAAAATGAGTGGTAATTAGTCTTATCAGGCAGACCAAGGAGAAATCCCTTACTGAAAAAAATCATAATATTTCGCTGCTTCTGAAGCCAAAAGGGAGGTAAAGCCACATAGTCTTCTGAGGGTTCCTTCAGAGATAACCGAGTCTCCCTTTCAGTCTGAAAACTGAGTAACTCACATGTGATTTTGTTAGAAAAAAAAGGTCTGACTAAAGCATTTGCAGCCATTACATAAATGACGAGGATTTTTTTTCCCAACTGAAATGAAAACCCATGAGGGGAAGAGTGTTTTGAAAGCAGTCACATGGAGAAGCACGTGCGCTCATGTTATTTTGTATGTATGAGCAGCTTCTGCCCTCATTGACAGTGTTGATAGCATGGGTGACAGGCAGGGCCAGTCACAGACCTTTCCTCGCACAGTGTAGCATTCAAGTTTCATGAACGTCCACCAAGGGTTGGAATGAAAAGCCAGGGAGCGTAGCATCTAAAGTCCGTCATGTTGTGCAATGTACAGGCATCTCTCAGCTTCACTAGTTTTAAATAATAGAAATATACATGTTAAAGTGGTAGTGTTACACTTGGGATGGACTTTTTTCTTTCATCACTAAAGATAATTTTAAAAATATTCGTATTTGAGAACGGGAGATTTTATTTTAAACTTCTGCACTGATTTGCATTATTGTATTTGTTGTAGTTATCTAGGGCTGCCATAACAGAAATACTAAAAGGGGATGGCTTTAAAGAACTGAAATTTATTTTCTCACAGTTCAGGAGGCTAGAGGTTTGGATTCAGAGCATGATTTTAGGGGGCGGTCCTTCTTTGTCTACTTCTGCTGTCAGTAGCCAGTAACTCTTGGGAGTGGTTTGTAGATGCATCTGCCATAAGTATCTGTCTCCTCCTTGTGTGTATTTCTGTGTCTGTACTGCTCTTTGTACAACTCAGAAGTGATTAGGTTTAGATCCCACCCTGCTCTTGTATGACCTCATTAAGGTAACAACAAAATCCATTTCTGAACAGGGACATATTTACAGGTACAGGAGTTAGGATTTCAACACGTATTTTAGGAGACACTATTCAATGCAAAGCACTATCCAGAGTGAATAGCTTATGGTGATTAGGTGCACACACATCTAGTGGATAATATGAAATCTGTTTGAAAAAATGGATTCTGGACATAATAATGCTTTCGAAGACCCAGTTGTTCTTTAGATTTTTATGGCCTTTCTTTGTGCCTTTTGCTTCTAGAATTCAAAATTCTTTCAAAGGTTCCTTCTGTTTCAGAAACAGCTCTTAGTTTTGTTCCAGGAGTTCATCTGTTCTGCTTTTGACTAGTTAGTTTTCTTATTGACCCCATGCCAAGGAATGGAAAGTCACAGTTCTAGTGATTGCTCAGAGATACGCATTCTTTTCTCGATTGTGTGTGTGTGTATCATTTTATTTTTTGTTGTTGAGAATATACACAGCAAAATATACAATTTGATTGTTTCTACATGGTCTACAATTCAGGCATTCTTTGAGCTGTGCAACCATACTCACCCTCCTTCTCTGAGTTGCCCCCCCCCCCATTAATATAAACTCACTGCCCCCTAAGGTTCCTGCCTAAAGTTCTCAGTTGCTCTTGTCAATTTGATCCAACGTTCTTGGGGAAATAAAAGCGTAATGCTCAGAGCAGACATCTGTTACCCATTCAGTTAAACTATTGTTTAGGGGATATTCTTGGTTTTAAGGTTTAAAGATTATCTCAAGGAAATAGTTTCAGGGTTCTATCTCACCTTCATAGTGCTAGAAAATCTGGATCCCATAAGAATTTGAATTCTGCTCTACATTTTCTCCCTTTTGAGCAGGATTCTTCTGTAGAATCTTTGATCAAATGTTCTGATAGCCAGGCACTATGCATTTCTTCTGGTCTCATGGCCAAGGAAGCAGTTCTCCATGGAGGCAACTAGTCACACGTTCCATATCCTTCACCTATCCCTAACTTTCCTTCTATTGTTCCAGGGAAATAGAGACAAGTTGTTGTGCCTTGGATGGTCACTTACAAGCATTTAAGACCCCAGGCACCATATATCAAACTATGAGATAGAAGAGAATCACTAAACATGCTACTAAGCCAGTCATCTAGGATGTCGCATGAAACCATGACCCTAAACCCCCAAACCAAGAAACCCAACCCCCTGAGGTTTTTGGTAGTATGCAGTCAGCCTCAGCACCTATTCATTCTTTTTAATTGTTGTTGTAAATACATCCCTGGTGTCTTTCTGAAATTGCATTAATGAATTTCCCTTAATTGCTTATCAGTTTAATAACATCATTTAGAAGTAAGCAAAAAAAGCAAGAGAGCTGAAGACTGGAGTATGGAAATCAGATGAAGACTCTATGGGGAAATTTTTTCTATCTTGTTGTTCCTAATGGGAATTGAGGAAATTTTCCAAAAATTGTTTTTAGATTTTTTAAAAGAATCAAGGACTTTATTTATTTTCTGGGTCATAATTAACAGAAGAGGAGGAAAATAATGGCTCACTGTGAGTGTTTCATGCCAATTGGCAGTTGGATTCTATGTGACCTGTAAGTGGCATCCCTTCAGCGGTGGACATGTCTCGGAAGGACAATGATAGCTAGTACATTGATCCCTGCAGTTTAACAGCTCTGGAAACCATCATTAGATTTGTGCAAATACCTCTAATTTCTGTGACATATTTTCCTGTTTTTGTGAATTTTGATAACCATAAAATCGTTTGAAGTTAAAGATTGGGTTACCCAGCTGTGATCACCAGTTAAGTGATACTTAGTAAATGGCAGTTTCTGGGGGCATAATTCCTCTTCCATTCTCTTGTACCTGGCACAGGTGGTAATAATAGCCACAGCCATGATTAATGGAGAACTGTGACCAAAATTAGACCCTGAGCCCTCAAAATCCTTATTATTCATTGGCAAAGGGGACTAAGGCAGGTTGAGCAAAGCAATCATTAGCCTCAGACCTAAGTGTTTGAAAGACAGTTGCCTTAACCTGATAGATCACATAGCACCAAAAACAAAACAAAAGCCCACCACCGTCAAGTGGATTCCAACTCATAGGGACCATGTAGGACAGAGTAGAACTGCCCCCATAGGGTTTCAATGGCTGTAAATATGTCAGATTGTTACCTCTTTCTCACGCAGAGCACCTGGTGAGTTTGAAATACCAACCTTTTGGTTGGTAGCTGAGTGCCTTAACCACTGAACCAGCAGGGCTCCTGGAACACATATGTTGTTGTTAGGTGTCATCAAGTCAGCTCTGACTCATAGGGACCCTATACTATAGAAGGAACATTTTGAATAGCAGTGAAACACTGTCTGATATATTACTGGATCACATATGTTGTTGTTGTTGTTATGTGCCATCGAGTCAGACCCGACCCATAGCGACCCCTCCTTGGGTTTCTGAGACAGTAACACTACGGAAGTAGATTGCCTGACCTTTCTTCCAAGGAGTGGCTGGTGGGTTTGAACCACCAGCTTTCTGGTTAGCAGCCAAATACCACAGGCACTATGCTACCAGAGCTCCTTAGCGACCATATACAACAGAAGGAACCTTTTGAATAGCAGTGAAACACTGTCTGATGCATTACGGGCTCACATACAGATAAACATTAATTGTGTGTGTGTCCTGTGCTCTAAAGTGTTTGGATGTTGTGAATAATATCATGTTCTCTCTCTTATTTCTAGTTTTGCCTGCTGGTCTGCAGTGTTTGTACATTTTTTACGGTCTTGGGAAGTTATATTCCTGGGGTTATACTCAGCTATCTACTGTGTAAGTATACTTGAACAGTTACCTGATTCTTGTGATGCATGCAAAGAGGCGGGGTGAGTCTAATTATAAAACAAATAGACTCTTCTTAACTCTCCTGCTGTACAACCATTTTCCTTTTTCCTGAGTAGATGTTTATATCTTAAACCGGAAAGAATAACTATGAGAGGCAGGACACTAAGTAACTAATTATCCTTATTTTAAATTATATCAATAAACTATAAATAAAGTATGCTTCCCACGTCCCACAAACATACCAACACCTTAGCCCTTTTGCATGTTCCCTGGCTAATAAAAATAAAATAAAATAAAAGTACTGTAAGGTGCCATCATACTCCCACAGGAATAAGTACTGAGCAACTGTAATTGTCATGTACTGTTGGTGGGCAGATAGGATGGCACAACTTCTTTGGATAAGAGTTTGGTGGTATCTTAAAAGCCTAGTCATTCCAAAGCAAGGTATTTACCCAAGGGAGCTGAACGCATATGTCTACACAAAGACTTGTACATGACTGTTCATAGCAGCTTTATTGGTAGTAGCACAAAACTAAACACAATCCATATGTCCATCAACAGGTGAGTGGATACACAAACTGTGGTGTCGTCACGCAGTGGATAGTTACCCAGTAGTACAAAATTGATACATGCAGAGATATTGGTGATTCTCAAAATACTGAGGCTGAGTAGAAGCAGCCAGATTTTAAAGAGAGAGTATGCACATACCATAGGATTCCATTTATGTATAATTCTAGGAAAAGTCAAACATTTAGTGACAAAATCAGTGGATAAAGGTGGTAGGAGGCAGAGAGGGGCAGAAGGAAAGGATTTAAAAATAATGAGTAGTTTTGGACCTGGCAGATAGGTTCACATGGGAGCCCTGTGGCATGATGGGTAAAGCACTTGACTGATGTTTTGGTTCTCTAGTGCTGCTTTACCAGAAAATACCATAAATGGGTGGCTTTAATAAACAGGGATTTACTCCCTCATAGTTTGCGAGGCTAGAAGTCCAAGTTCAGGGTGCCGGCTCTAGGAATTAGATGAAGGCCACTCAACCTTGGACTTCAGCTCTGTCTCATGCTCCTAGCCCACTGGAAATGGAGGCATCTCTTCACTCAGTCAGTTGCTGCCTGCTGAGGCTTACAAACCCAAGGTCGACAAGTAAAATGGCACAGTCCAAAGACTATCAAGCAACATGGCAGGCACTAATTCAAGTCCAGAAACAGTCCTAAGATTGGCAGACAACGTGGCAGTCCACAGAGATGAAGACTTGGCCAAATGTAGGATCCAGATGTGTCAAAAGCTCAAGACCTTTCTTACAGTGTCATCTCATATACTGGAAGCAGAGCACATCCCTAAGGCAGCTATTCAGCTGCTCCAGAAGATTCCACCATGGAGGTGATTACCAGTCTCATCATGGGGCATAACTACATCCGGCTGCCTAGCCACTCAACCAAGCCCAGCCAAGTTGACACACAGCCTTAACTACCACAGCTGCCAACTGAAAGTTTGGCATTTCAAACCCACCAGTACCTCCACAGGAAACAAGTCTTTGTGATCTACTCCTGTAAAGATTATTGTCTAGGAAACCCTAGGGGCAGTTCTACTGTGTCCTGTAGGGTGGCTGTGAATCAGAATCCACTTAATGGCACAACAAGAAGATGTTTTATTTTGATTGTGAGGAAAGTTTCTTGATAATATGCTGCAAATGACTTCTGACACCAACTAGCCACAGTTAGACCAGATTTCACAGGTTAGGGACACAGTCCTCCAGACTGCCAAGTCTGCCCTTGATTTTAGACACTAGCTATACAAGCTTGGGAGCCCCCAGGCAACACCCAGTTCTGACTAAAATTTCATGGTCCCCAGTACTCCCTCAGGTTTGATAATTCATTAGAACAAGTCTTAGCACTCACTTGAAGTGTTACAATTACAGTGTTACTTAATGATTACAGTTTTATTGTCCAAAAGGATGCAAATCAGAATGAGCCTAAGGGAGACACTCATAAAGTGAGCTCTGGACGGGCCCCCAGTGTGACCATGTGGAACATTGCCAATCAGATAAGCTCACCTGAGCCTCAATATTTAGCATTTTTATTGAGACTTCAAACATAGGCATGGTGGCTTCATTGGCCTCATGATTGAACTCAGTTTCTAGCCTCTCTCCACTCTCTGGAGGTTGAGCATACCACATGGCTCCAAGCGCCAAACCTCTCATCACAGCCTGGTCTCTCCCACGTGGCCAGCCCCAACCCTGAGTCATTTCATTAGCATAAACAGGTGTGGTCTGAGGGCCCAACAATGAATAAGAAAGAAATTCCAAGGGTCTAGAGGTTGCCTCTCAGGAACCTTTGACAAAGACCAGCTTTGTCTTTATTACACATAATATAAAAAAATACATAATTTATTTTATGTTATTATCATATATAAAACATATCAAATTTCACACTTTAATAATTGCCGTTTCTTATATACCAATTATATCTAAAGAAGCTGTTAAAAATACATGGACTTCCTGCTTCTCTTGAAAAATAGGAGGATCTGGTGCTGCTGCCTTTAAACGGGCATGCAGACTCCTTATTCCAAGCGTCCTGTGTCCCTATTTTCCTTCTCCCAGCTTGCTTTGTTATTTTACATACACCTCCCTGGCTTCTGTGGAAAGTTGAGTTTGTAGCTCCTATTTTGAAAGGTACCAGTGTACATCTTCTACAACAACAAAGGAATAAACTCTAGGGGAGACAAGTAATGTGGTGGTCTCCATTTCTTTTTGTGTCTGTAATGCAGACCACAGTGGTTGGCAAACGATCTAAGCTCAGATCCATTTTCCCAGGTAGAATGCATATGGAATATCAGCCTGTTGATGTACATTGTTTTAGAAGTTTAGGGAGAAGAGG